TTGTTGACCATGATGGCTACTCCATTTCTTCTAAGGGATTCCTGCCCACAGTAGTAGATATAATGGTCATCTGAGTTAAATTCACCCATTCCAGTCCATTTTAGTTTGCTGATTCCTAAAATGTCAACGTTCACTCTTGCCATCTCCTGTTTGACCATTTCCAATTTGCCTTGATTCATGGACCTAACATTCCAGGTTCCTATGCAATATTGCTCTTTACAGCATCAGATCTTACTTCTATCACCAGTCACATCCACAACTGGGTGTTGTTTTTGCTTTGGCTCCATCCCGTCATTCTTTCTGGAGTTATTTCTCCACTGCTCTCCAGTAGCATATTGGGCACCTACCGACCTGGGGAGTTCCTCTTTCAGTGCCCTATCTTTTTGCCTTTTCATACTGTTCAGGGGGTTCTCAAGGCAAGAATACTATATAATTAACTAATTAGAATTTATGTATAATATAATATAATTATATTATAAATACATTCTATGTGATTATATAATAAACAAAATTATAATTGATACCAATTAATATTAATCATTTAATTAACATTGTTTAATGGTATTTTATTATATAATTATAATAGTTATTATTTTTATAGCTAATGACTATATAATAGTTATTATTATAACTGGTAATTAAATAATTTGTTTCATTCACTGAGCTTTCATTTACACCACTGTTCACTTACATGTTAGTGTGTGTTTTAAGGCGAAATTCTGTCTTTCTCATACAACTCAGGGAAGAAAAACCTATTCCCCATACTCACTAATCCTTGACTTTGTCCAGACTTGTATTTTTTGCTCAGGAGACAGGCCTAATTAATAGACATCACTGTACCCCACCCCTGAATAGAAGCATTGAGTTGACTTAGCCAAATACTGAATAACAAACAATGTAAATATATATAAGCGGAAGCTTAGCTGCAGATCATTTTCTGTTGGGACCATTTGTCTTTAGCCCTGATATATGCACAGTCTGATCTTAATCTTTATCCTAGGAGAGTCTCTCTTTTCCTCACGGATTCCCCAAGAGTCCAATACTGTAAACACATTTCGACCACGGGGAGACGCTGTCAATTTAAACACATAAATAAACCAGAAGGATGCCTGGGCAGCCACCCTAATGGGCCGCAGCCACATACTCACAGGCGGTCCGAGGGCACCTTGGGGTCCCATGCTTCCTGTGACCCCGGGGACTCCAGGGGCTCCGGGAATGCCCTAGTAGACAGGAAGATGGAGCAAAGGTAAAGACGGATGCTCGCAACAACACAGCTCTCCAGAAGGAGCAGCAGACACCCCCCTCCCCGAAGCCAACTTCAGGACTCATTGCTTATTCCTGTTTCCAACTACCACAAAATTAAGGAAGACTCTTTTTGGAAAAGTCTCCACTGTGTTGGTTAGATGTCGTTCTTTCAAATTCAAGCCTTATCTGTGTCTAGTAAAAACAAAATCAACGCAGGTGCTCTTATGGCAAAGTGGCTCAGAGGTGGAATAATCAAGCCCCCTGGACACATTCCTTTTAGAGGATGCTTAGGAAGAGTGCTGCACCAGAGGGTGAGCCATCCACCATAGCAAAGATGCTGCAAAGGGAAGAGCTTGGCAGCAGAAAAGCTCTCACAAGAAGTGAGCGGCTTGCAAGCAGTGCCGCACCCCGTAGTTCCTGGGAATACTTACAATTGGCCCTGGTGGACCCGGAGGGCCAGAGGACCCGTCCTTGCCAGGAAAGCCCTGGGGGAAGAAAAACACGGCGTGTCAACTCTGTAGCTGCTTTATATGGTTTCAGAAAAGGTGCATTTAATCCCATTTCATATTTGGGGCTGCAAGTCCTGTCATTTGCTCCAAACTTCCAAGGATTCACTGCTTTTAAACCCTTCATGGGAATTGTTCTTGGCAAAGACGTTTGTGTCTGTTGGCTCTGTGAAATCACCCAATGTAAGAATGTTAGGTGTGAGAAATGCCACTTATAAACTTACACAGGAACTTATTTTCAGAAAGTGTTTTTTTTTTTTTTAATTAAACTCAGCATAACTAGTGAGAAGGGGGATCAATTCTGGTCATTAATGACCAGACACAAAGACGAATTCGTGTCTTTCAGGACCTAAGAGTCTGGGGACAGGGAATCCCCATCATAGGAATCTAATAGTGTATTACAGATTAGGGGTACTACAGTATTGGGCTCCCTTTTACCTCAGATAGTAAAGAATCTGCCTGCAATGCTAGAGACCCAGAGGTTAGGTTCGATATTATTTTAAAAATATAATCGAAGCCATTTCCCTCCCCCCCAATTTCTAACTGGAAAAATGTTCATGTTTTCATCACATGGCTTTATTCTTTTAACAATCACTTTTAAAATTTATCTCTGAAAGATTTTTTTTCACTCATAAGCCTCAGGTTTGTCATATTAAACTACAGTTGCAGAATTAGTGTATGCTGGGCATTTTGCTAGGTTTTGGGTAGTCAACGATGAACAAGACAGTTTGTTTTCAAGGAGGTGATGGTTTTGAGAAAAGTCAACAATTGAAAGTAAACAGCAATGAACCTCGATGAGGGGACTAGAGGGTTCCACAGGAACACCCAGAAGGGCGTCCAGTCATGGCGTGGGGGTTTGGGGAAGGGTTCCCAGGAGAGGGGTTCAGGTCAAGGGCCCCAGGAGGCTAGTCCACCCTCCCCTCCCAGGGGCCACTCAGCTCAGGCCAACTCTGGAGCCTCTCCTCGCCCTTCATCCAGGGTGAGGGGCGACGGCAGCAGCTTTTCATATCGAAGCAATAAAGTTGGCGAAAAGGAAAACCATGTAAAATGTCTGCACTTTCCAAAATCTCCAGATCTATAAATGTTCCATTTCACATCAGGAAGCCAGTCTCAGTACCTGTGTGTTTGTGGGTTAAGCACCCTCATAAAAAGCAGAAAACTTTAATTAAGCAATGAGGAATGAATATTAGGGGATAGAAGATTAAACGATAAGCATAAAGCGAGAATTCACTTAAACTGACATATGCATTTTTAAGCACATAAATCAGCCACCTACAAACAGGCATGCTTTATAAAAACATGAGCAGCTCCCATCACGTTTCCTTTCTGAGAGTCCCACCTCAATATTAATATGCAACCACAATGCACATTAAAAATAATCTTTGCTATAAAAACTTGAAAGGCTTTTTATAGTTTGTTTTTGAAAACATTTGGCTCTGAGCAGCTTTAAAAGTTATGGTTAGCCATGATTTATCAGCAAAAGGAAATCTATTGTAAAATATGTTTTCAAAATCACTGATATTTGAATAAATACTAAATTTAACTATGGCTGAAATTAGCAAAGTGCAATGTTTTATACACATTTAACTAATTTATTAATTTAATTTTTTCAGTTTTCTTTTCCACACTCTAGAGCAAACACACATGCTTTTCTCAGGTGGTAAGAATTTTTTTGTGGGCTTTTTAAAAAGTTTGCACTTTCAAGGTGTCTACAGCATCTAAAGGATGAAATGGATGTGCCCACAGAGCGTGTTGTAACTAAAGTTAAAGTCAGAGGCTAGAATATTCATGCTTATGTAGTTACCAGAGATGGGCTTCCCTCGTGGTTCAGTAGTAAAGCATTTGCCCGCCAAGCGGGAGACTCGGGTTCAATCTACGGTCTGGGAAGATTCTCCAGAGAAGGAAATAGCAACGCCCTCCAGTGTTCTTGCCTGGGAGGTCCCCCTGACAGGGGAGCCTGGTGGGCTACAAGCCACGGCTTCGCCGAGGAGTCGGACACGACAGCAGCTGGACAAGAGCAGCTGTCAGAAACCGCCCTCGGGACAGTGACTCAGGCACGACAGCCGGGATGGCGGACCGCTGACGAGCTGCGACGGGCTGAGACAGGGCCACGCAGGGCCTCTGACAAACAGCCCTCAGGTACCGCGGGGCCTGTGAGCCGCCGGCCGGCGCGCCTGCTGAGCCGCGGGGCCTGTGAGCCGCACGGCGCGCCTGCTGGGCCGCGGGGCCTGTGAGCCGCCGGCGTCCGACGCGCCTGCTGAGCCGGGAAGACTCGAGCCGTGAGGGCTGACAGACGCTGAGCCTCTCACCGCACAGCTTCCGCCCTGAGAGCGCGGGCCCGGGGCCGGGAGGCAGTCGGCCCCAGGAAACAGGCTGCTGGCAGCAGCGGCTTCCGACCAGCCACCAGATCGAGGGGCCACGGAGCTCAAAGCCACAGCCCCCGAAACACTGGCCGGCTTAGAGCCCGGGGTCAGCCCTGAGCGCGCTTCCGTGTGGGGTCACACTGGGGATTGTCATCAGTCGCACACACACAGACACAAACATATACATAAATAGTTTATATGTGCACAATACACTATTTTTTAAACATACGAATTTATATATGTATTACATGTATAATTTAAATGCATACATAGACATGTAAGTGTGTATAGTTTTAGTAACCTGCAGTGGTGATTCCAGTGAATGAAAACAAAAGCAATATTCAACCCAAGAAATTACTTTGACGTGCAAATGGTTTAACATAATGTATTATGCAGTGATTCTAAAACCTAGCTGTTTATTAGAATCATTCATCATTTTTAAACCATACATTCCTAAGTCACTCCCAAGACCGTTGGTATCTGAATCTCTAGGGCTAAAGCTCAGGAATACGCATATTAAAAAAACAAAGAAAACACAAAACAGCAGCTTGATCACTTATGTTGTGGGACTGCTGGTTTTCAATATGAAAATGTCTGCCTTGGTCCCAGAGGACAGCACTGGAATCAGAGTGCAAGATAGATATCATTTGTGTGCTGTCTCTTAGTAGAAGCATCTTTAAAGCCAGTAATAACAAGAAACTAATTCACTAAGTAATGGTTCTCTCCTCAAATGGGCCACTAGCCAAGTAAAAGTGAAATGTAATCAAAGAAACATAGTCTTCATGTGTGAACTACCAGTTTCTCCATCAAGAAAGTAACCCAAACTGGGTTCCTTCTGCCCCCAAAACACTGGGTGAGATGTCTTCGGTGATGGAGTCATGCTTATTAATATCTTTACTGGAAGAGTTGCCCATATTAACAAAATCTACTTTAACCTTTAACACAATTTTGTGGAAAGAATGAAAGCAGTGTTGGAGCCTGAGAGTGGATTAGAATCCTGGCTGCAATGCTTGCTAGCTGTGTGGCATTGTCTGTGTTACTTCAAGTTTCCGAGCTTCAGATTCTTTGTGTCTATAATGGGGTAAGAGTGCCCAGCATTTGTGGTTACTCTGACGATTGGAAAACACAACATTTGTAGAGCACTGCACTTAGTCGATAATCAATAATAGTGGCTGCTGCTCGTTTTATTAAAATAACCTGCCAAGTCCCAATTGCATAAACTGTCATCACTGTGGTTGACTGGGAGAATGTTTTTCTGGGATTTATAAAAACCCGTCTAGATCCACGGAAAAGAAAATCAAATCATTTTCTCCACTAGCTTTGTGCTGGTTTTTTGTATTTCCTCTTCTGGAGGAGGAAGATACTCAAGGGGGTAATTATCATGAATCTTAGTATTTAACAAAATATCCCTTAGATGAATCTCTCATCAGAGGTTGACATTTATGATAGGAATTAAATCCAGATCGCTGACTCCAGTTCAGTTCTTCAAGGATATTTTAAGCAAGCACAACTCGCTTTGGTGAAGTGGGACATTCATCACAAACATGGCCTTTGTGGAGTCGCTGAGTCGGGTCTGACTCTTTGCAAGCCCATGGGGACCATAGTCTGCCAGGCTCGTCTGTCCATGGAACTCTCCAGGCAAGAACACTGGAGTGGGTAGCCATTCCCTTCTCCAAGGAGTCTTCCCAATCCAGGGATGGAACCCAGGTTTCCTGCGTTGCAGGCAGATTCTTTACCATCTGAACCATCAGGGAAGTCCTTGTGTACATCAAAACCACATAAAAAGGAAACATGGTCCAAGGATCCTTTCAACATGGACTCCAAGAAAATTAAACAATAATAAGCCACTTGATTTTTCTTTAGACTTTCTCTCTCTCTCTCTTTTTTTTTTTTGAGTTCATTAAAATCTTCTAAGTTACCTTAACAATGTCAAGGACAGGCATTATAAAATACTGTACTGTCCTGACTCATTAGCTCCACACTGAAAATAGTGAATGCTTATACCAACTAGAGTTGAATTTTTACATAGAAATTCCTTACATGAAAGGCTTCCCAGGTGGCACTAGTGGTAAAGAACCTGCCTGCCAATGCAGGAGACCTGAGTTATGGGTTCAATTCCTGGGACAGGAAGATCCCCTGGGGGAGGGCATGGCAAACCACTCCAGTATTCTTGTCTAGAGAATTCTATGGACAGAGGAGCCTGGCGAGCTACAGTCCATGGGGTCACAACTGAAGCGACTTAGCATGTCCTTATTTGAATCAACTTCCACAGTAGCTCTATGGACTCAAATATTATTTTTCCCACTCAGATGAGGAGAAGGAGCCTTGAACACTTTAAGTGACTGGCTCAGTGTCCCATGGTTAGAGTTCACACTCAGGTCTGGCTAACTCTCCAAGTCTCTGATGTTTACCACTGGGCCATCCTGCGTCTCCTAACCACAAATTCAGCAGAATTCATATGCAGAACTTTAAAACAGTATTTCCTCTTTACAGATGGAACGGGAAGCCTGTGGTTATGGCATGAAAATGGGAGGTGTAGGGAGTGGTAACTTGGAGTAAGGGAAGCATTCCAAGTTTAGTTTTACTTGGAATTCTAAAACGAACACCCTTGTTACAAGGAAGGAATTACTACTATCTTCCAGGTGCCATAAAATATGTACCTCCTGGTCACTTTTATTTCTTGTCTCTTTGCATTTTTACAAAACCATAGTAAGAATTGAAAAATAAAAATAATTTTTAAAGTTTCTATTTGTAGCGGTTGACAGACAGCTAGTGGTCTTGGATATAAGTGAGCCTCAGAACTAGAAAAAAGGTAGTTTTTCCTTTCTTTCTTCCACTTCTTATACTTATCATCCATGTCTTGCCTATTTTTCCTGATTTTTCTTAGGACTGCCTGGATGTCCAGGGTGGGGGCAGAGACGTCCAGCCTACATCAGAGGAGCCTAAAGACCACGGGGTGGGCCCTGGGGTCACAGACATCAAGCAGAGAGGAGGAACGAGGCAGAAGGGAGGGGGCAAGATGGACAGTGGAAAAGGACAGGATGAGGGTGCTGTGGCTGGAATGACGCAGGATGAAAGCCTATGCCCGCACCCCCCGCTGTTCAATCCACTGGTGCGCTGCTGCTCTGCGTGGCGGGTCCTGCCCTGAGCCCTCCTGGCTTCCCAGCAAGAGGCTGAGGCTGGTTCAGTGAAGGAGGCCAACTTCTGCTGGCCTTGCTTATGGCCTGAGGCCCAGGGTTGAACATGAGCTGCCTCTACGAGTCCATGATTCCCCTTGGGAAAAGCCAGAATAAGCTAGAAATTTTAGAAAGAAAACATGTTTCCTGTTTAAAGAGGAGATGCTCAATCTTCTCTTTATTCTCTGCTAAGCTCCCCTCCTTGCAGACTAAGTGGAAGGTGACATCGGCCCTGGGTCCAGGTGAGGGACGCTGACCTTTCCCTAAGCTAATAAGCAGGGCATTGATCACAGTTTGGGGCTGTGAATTCTCAACTCTCAATAAGACAAAGATTTTTTAAAAGAAGAATGACCAGTAAGGGACAGCCCATCACGCACTGTCAGAAGAAGTGGGGCAGAGATGCGGAGAGCTGACTCATCAGAAGAGGCCCTGATGCTGGCAAAGACTGAAGGCAGGAGGGGACGGGGACGACAGAGGAGGAGATGGTTGGATGGCATCACCGACTCAAAGAACATGAGACCGAGCAAACTCAGGGAGGTGCTGACGGACAGGGAAGCCTGGCGTGCTGCAGTTCACGGGGTCGCAGAGTCAGACATGACTGAGCGACTGAACAACAATGAATAAATGACTGACTTCAGTGTTTGGTGGTATGTTTAGTTGCTAAGTCACGCCCGACTCTTTGAGACCCCACAGACCGTAGCCCACCAAGTCCCTCTGTCCATGGGATTTCCCAGGCAAAATATTCCCAGGCAAGAATACAAGAGTGGGTTGTCATTTCTTTCTTCAGGGGATAGTCCCAACCCAGAGACCGAACCCGTGTTGCCTGCACTGGCACACCGGTTTACCACCACTGAGCCACCAGAGAAGCCCAATGAGTGATTTCAGTGCTTGGTGTAACGACAAAACAACTGCCTTCCTGATTTTCTGAAAAATGTTTTCTAGAAGTGGCTTCTTGGGCATCTTTGCAGTAAGCCTCTTCACCCCGGGTGTCTGCTCTCAGACAGCTCTGTGCCACGGTTGCTACTGCCATCATCACGATAATCATCATTATTGCGTTCCTTCTTGAAGACAACTGTGCCTAAGGCAGAGCAGGAATGAAAGTGAAGTCGCTCGGTCGCCTCCGACTCTTTGCGACCCCGTGGACTGCAGCCCGCCAGGCTCCTCTATCCATGGGATTCTCCAGGCAAGAACACTGGAGGGTCACCATTTCTCCAGGGGACCTTCCTGACGGAACCCATGTCTTCTGTATCCCCTGCATTGCAGGTAGATTCTTCACCACTGAGCCACCGGGGAAGCCCATAAGACACACAGCATGCACTAAATTAAGGTATGAGTTCAACTAGTATCTTATTAAAGAAGATATTAAGATAATGAAAATATATACACGCAGTCCCTCCCTCAGGCACAGTAGCCAGTGCAGGAGACACTGCCACGAATCACTCTGTGTTAGTGATGCCCTTAGAGTTGCCCACTGGAACAGTATCACCTTCAGATATCTTTCCTGAAGCAACACGGATAGGGTTTGCACAATTTCTTTAACATCAGATTTTTAAGGAGTTAAATTTTCCTTTAACTCGTTTAAAGAATGAGTGTCCTCTGGAAACCAGTTTAAAAAAGCAATTCCCTCCCCATCCACAAATTTTTCAAAATAGGCATTAGAGACAGACTGAGGGCAGGAGAAGGGGACGACAGAGGCTGAGATGGCTGGATGGCATCACCGACGCAATGGACACGAGTTTGATTAAATTCCGGGAGCTGGTGATGGACAGGGAGGCCTGGCATGCTGCAGTCCATGGGGTCACAAAGAGTCAGACACGACAGAGCGACTGAACTGAATTGAAAGTTTTACCTTCAAATTGAGGGAGAGAGGGAAATAAAATCTATGTGCAGATATATGGACACTTTATTAGGCCTTAAGGCTTTTTATCTTATAGAATGAAACATGTTTGGAACATATTTATAAAAAATCTGTATTGGCATAGTGGTTTTAAAAGAATTCCAGACTGAAATGATCTAGACACTAACCCAATATGTTTGTTTTGGGAGAACTTTTCCAAGACTAGACTCTGCATAGATAAATCAAGGAAATTCACTGAACCGAACCTTTGAAATTGCTGTTTTCAGAGCTTCAGGAATCACGAAGGAACCTAGGTATGTAACCACACAGTATCTCAGTCTAAGCCCTTTGCCAAAACATATAAATACTTTTAGACACTCCTTCTACATGTACAAGAAACCTACACAAATCTCACTTCTAGAGAATGCTTCTTTTTAGATACATTCACCTGGACGTGCTTTACCGACTAATCCCATTTGATGGATGGAGACTAAACTGAGATTTTAAGCAAATGAAAGTTGAATGTGAAACAAACAAAAAAACCCAACATGGAAGGAATTTAAATTCCCACACCTGCACCCCTATAGAAAACATTTATTTCCTTATTCTTGAGCAGTATAGCTAAAGGCAACCTAGTCTGGGTAGAGAGTTGCGTCCTCCAGCTAATCACTTGCTAATCCGGTGGGTTAGCTGTCCCCTACGATATCAGCGAATGTCGCCGCACGTGCTGTCCTTTACTGGACTGGATCTAAGTGGTAGCCCCTGTATATGATCCAGTCTTAAGAAAAACTGCAACTGCCAGTGACCTTTTGAGGAAGACCAGTCTCTCTCTCTTGCTGAAAATGTAATAACTTTCTATTGCCTTCCTGTAAAAGCTCAAAATCCTTGGTTCGAAAAAAAGAATAGATGATGTCAGTGAATTTGTCTTTACTCCTTCAGTTCCATCTCTTGGCAATCTCTCCACACCAAGGCATGTGCACACACGTGTACACTTGTGCACACACAGACACACATACAGACGATGCACTCTAATCTCCAGCCATACTGAACCACGTGCAGTAGTGGAAATGCCCCACCTTCTCTTCAACTCCACCCCTCCATCCGCCATGCATGCTGTTCTCTCTACTTGCAATACCTTTCCCGTCCTTGTGTATCTGGCTAATTTTTCTCTCTCAGCTGAAAACCAGTCTATATGGTGCCCACTCTGGGAAGCCTTCCTTCCCCAACCCTCCAGGTCTGGCTTGGTTATCTATTCTTGTGTCCCTATAGGGCTCTGTAAATTCTCCCATGATAGCATGTGTTTCTTATTTGGTTCTGTTTCCCCCAATAAGCTATAGACTCTTTGAAGACAAAAAACCTCAAACCTGGTTCAGTGAAGACATGTTGACTAAACAAACTGTAGATGTTAACTCACCCCTCAACCACGCTATACTTTCTTTTAATGCCGTCCACTTGAACAGGTTCCAAGAATTGATTGCTGATGTGTACTGAACAAATGGAGACTATTACAGATAATCATCATCACTAAATTCCAATTCTTATGATTCTTGCTTTCCTTTAGGTTTGTTCCTTGAGTATTTGAAACAACTGGAAAATCTGTTAGACCAACGCCCACAATTCAGTGCAAATTGCATTCAGCTTCTGGGAACATTCAGAAAGAGGTGTGGCTGATTTGAGAAGGTCTGCTAAAAGTTTCTAGGTTTTGAGGAAAGAATACCAGTTAAGGGAAACAGATGCAGGATTAGTAGAATGTAGATAGATGGGAGAAAAAATAAAGGAAACAAAACAAAACACATGGTTGACTTCCTTGCACAGAGCCTGCCGGCAGCAACGAGAGACTTGGTGAGAAATGCACTGTGCTAATAATGGGCAATCTTGGGCAAATCCTTACCCTCTGGCCTGGGGAGCCATCGCGTCCTGGTGAGCCAACACTTCCTGGGACACCCTAGACAGAGCAAGGACAGGAAGGTGTCAGAATCGTGGAAACCAACCACCTCTCACCCAGCTTCCCCAGAATAAATCAAGGCCTCCAAACAAACCTGAAACCATAAGGGTGAAGCTTTCCTGACTGATAACACGGAACCCAGAGCTTAGTCACTGAAGGAAAGCAAACGTCCCCCTCCGGGGTTCACCCAGGGGAGCGTCAGGAGGACCCTCAGAGGGGGCCAAAGGTCAACGAATGCAGGCTGCTAGTCCTCAGTATGGAAACCGTCCACAGCCAGGCTGCTAGTCCTCAGTATGGAAACCGTCCACAGCCAGGCTGCTAGTCCTCAGTATGGGAACCGTCCACAGCCAGGCTGCTAGTCCTCAGTATGGGAACCGTCCACAGCCAAGGTCACAGCTGACTTCAGAAGCTACGGTCTTCTTCTTGGTAAAGCTCTGGACTGAGAGCAATGGACTAAAAAAATCAAAACAGTACCTGTGGGCCCGGCAGCCCGGTCTCTCCTTTCTCTCCTTTCTCACCCGGCATTCCCTGGACATCGGAAAGGACACGGGGGTAAGTTCACATAAGGAAATGGGTGAATCCTCAGTCTCTTTCCCTCTGCTGACTCTCTTAACATTTTCAACATTAAATTGTTTCTACACTAACATCCAAATATAGCATATTTCACTTTTCACATAAGCCACACAACTTATGTAAGCATGCTTACAGAGCGGAATGTTTATATTTCAGAATAGTTTAAACACAGTGCATACAATCTGATTTAGTTAAGCTTATACTGTAAATATATGAGCAGAGTCTTGAATATATCAGTATTATTTATAGCTTAGATTTTAAAACTTACATCTATATATACTTTTGTTTTGGCTAGAAACTTATAAAAAGGCAAAAGCAAACACAGTACCTGACCTGTAGCAAGACCTCAACGAATTCTTAGTACTAATTGTAATTATACAAACTGGCATATTAAATAAAAATAATTCATTCATGTGTAAATGACTCTGGAAATGAAGAACCTGAGCTAGGGAGACACAATCATATGCACAGAAAGATTTGCTAAAAATGTATTTAAATCATTTACATTAAAAATGTACTTTAAAATGTATATAATGGCACAAATACTAATTACAGAGACTGGTTATATTCCTTAAATCTAGATTCCTCTACTAAGTTAAATGAAAATCAGTGAATGGGATTGAATTTGCTTTCAGTGGTACAAACAGCTCATGTGGCTGGAGAGAGTATATTGTCTATAATGTTAAACTCAACGCAGCCCACTTTGATGGCCTGTCGAGATGAAGATCTCAATAAATGGCTTTTGTGGTTGTAGTTCCACAGTTACTACAAATACAAAGTGAAAAACTTAAGTTGTATAACATTTGTCACTTTGCAGGTTTCATCACACCCACTGAGGACCTGGGTGAACAAGGAGGAGGAGTCACGCGTGTCAAGCCCGCGTTCTCCCTGCAGACAAGCTCTCTGCGGCCACACGCGCTCCCTGGGCATGCACGGAAACACAGAGGCCCCTCTACCGAGTGAAAAGCCGGCTTATGAAGGACCTCTTGATCACTATGCTCATTTCCCAGATCTTACTTTCAGGGGCTGGAAGAGGCTGTGGATGATTACTAGGGACTGAAGACAAAAGTTCATTCTCTATGACTCACGGGGACGTGAGAACAAGACCTGTCCGAACACTGACACACAACTCACAGGCATCCCTTGAATGGAAAGACCGCTCGGTCCCTGGGGTCCCGGGGGGCCCTGAGGTCCTGGAGGGCCCGTTTCACCCCGAGGGCCATCTGGTCCCTGGAAGGCAAGAAAGCCACGCCAAAGGTAAGTTAGACCATCTGGAACCCAGAAATACCTGCTACCCCGGTGTTCCTGCTGAGCGCATTTATCTTCTATTTCATTAACTTTCCTGAGACATAAAACACTCATAGGACAAGGAGACACCAAGCCTCACAGGTTTGCCTCCCGGGCCTAGAGTCATCAGCAAGCCAGGAGAGTAAACACACAGTCGTTGCTGCAACTTTATTCATGTTTGCTTCCATAAATAAGAACGCTGTGCCAGCGGCGTGAGTAATTAGACCCCCCACACTGCACCACGAATCCGGAAGATGTAAGCGGTACAAGACCACCCTCTTGGCCTGCGAAGGTTCTCACCATCCAGCCAAACGACATTCCCTCCCTTCGTTACTGTGAACTGTCATCTCTGGACACTGCTCTGCGTTTATCAAAGGTATTGTGGCACATACGAGATGGAGCCGAGTATGATACATCGCCTCTGCCTGAGAAAACATGCCACAATTGCAGAAAGCAAAACAGAACAACAAAGGCGATCTCGTGTGGTCTGAGTGTTGAGCTGGGTGGTGCCTGGTCAGTTCTCTCCAGCCTCCTTTCACTGACTCCCCCTCGGCCTCGCCCCATTCTCTTACCTTGCTCCACTTGTTTCCAATTTTCTCTAAAAAAAGCTGCAGTGTTCTCTCCTCCATGAATAAATGCTGTGCGGATTTAATAGGTGACTGTGTTGAAGCAAAAGTCAAGCAAGATGGGTGGGGACGAGCAGAGCAGCACAGTGAAGGTGGGACAGGGGACAAGCAATCAGAGGCCTGAAGCCAAGGAGCTGGGGCTGACTCTCAAGGCAGCTGCACACGACTGCGGGTTTAAGGCTGTGATGTGATCCAGTGTAACTCTAAAGAAACGAATCTGGGGCAGATAGGAAGAATCAGTCAGAACCATCAGGCCCCTGGAGGCAGAAATAGAGGTGATCGGTAGGGCCCGAACGCGCTTATTAGGCTGGGCGCCTGCCATCCCGCGGGTGCCTTTGAGCAAAGCAGGGAAACGTGTGCCTGGACCGGGGTCTGCGCGGCGTGCTCCTCTGTATGGTGAGCAGACTGAACACCCCGCTTGGTGGCCTTGGGCAGTGAGAGTGGAAAATACAGCTGTGTTTCTGACAGCACGTGGTGGGAGGAAGGAGAGGAGTCGAAAACCTGAACAGTGACCTGGAGGACGGCAGCCCCACTGTGATTCGGCGCGCCCCTAAGATGCATCTTTGTTGCAGACAGAGGAAAGAGGATGTAAGAGCAAGCACCGCGTGAGCAACCAAACTGCCCGGAGCACCGACACTCCGTCTCGGACCCAGAAACCTAGTCACTGAGTTATGGTGTTTCTTCTGACGAAAACACACAAGCTTTTAAGAATAAGGGGAAAGGCTTCAACACACCTTCCATAAAAATATAAGACGCTTTACAACGTTACATGGCAGCCTGGATGGGAAGGGAGTCTGGGGGAGAGCGGACACCTGTATATGTATGGCTGAGTCCCTTTGCTGTCCACTGAAACTATCACAGCATTGTTATCGGCTTACTCCAAAATCGGAGGAGGCGATGGCACCCCACTCCAGCACTCTTGCCTGGAAAATCCCATGGAGGGAGGAGCCTGGCGGGCTGCAGTCCATGGGGTCGGGAAGAGTTGGACATGAAAGTTGAGCGACTTCACCTTCACTTTTCACTTTCATGCACTAGAGAAGGAAACGGCGACCCACTCCAGTGTTCTTGCCTGGAGAACCCCAGGGACGGGGGAGCCTGGTGGGCTGCCGTCTATGGGGTCTCACAGTGTCCGACACGACTGAAGCGACTTCGCAGTAGCAGCAGCAGCATACTCCAAAATACGATTTTTAAAAATTTAAAAACTATATAAGGAGCTTTAGATTGCCAAGGGTAACTACTACTTCCTCCAAAACTGTGGCATGCCTGGGGGTGAGAGGGAGAGAGACAGCCTTACCTTTAGGCCCGGGTCACCCCGCTGGCCCTTCGGTCCTCGGAGTCCTGGGCCCCCCTGGCAGAAAGACGTTAAGTGTTAGCACAAAGACAAATCTGAAAGCAATATAGCGTATTTGTTTCCCTTAACAATATGGATTATGTAATTCTTATTTTGTACAAAGGCCAACACATTGTGTGATGATATGTTCACTGTGTTCCTCAACTGAGGTCTGTCCCCCACAGTCACCTCTTCCTGTTAAGGGTTTCAGAGTTTGAGCAAACTTTCTATGCTAAGTCCCTTTAAATAAAAAAAAAAGGCTACAGGATCTTTTGATTGCGTGTGTAAGATTTCTGCTATTAATAATGCAAATAATAAAAAATATACTGTTAATCTAAAATTATATGCATATCTTAAACCACAACTTTGAGATTAAATTATTTAATTAGATTGTATTATGTTAAATTGTAAAAAGCACATAAAATAGTAATAATTTAATTCTCTTTATTTATATCATGAAAAGCTATTTAGTGCTTCTGAAACTTCAGGTATTTGCATTGTCCCCTTAAAATTTCTGTCACATTAATGCACTGCCTGTATTATCATTTAGTAGTATTTTGTTTATACATATATGTACATAATACATAATACAATAAATATGTATGTATGTGTATATATGTTCTTTGCAAACATATTCTTTGTATATGTATGCATAACATATATGAAAATATACTCTGAATATTTTTTACTTGACTCTTACTTCACTTAAATCTACTTCAAAAGCAAATATAATGTACTATAGCAGATGGAAAAACATATAACTTACTAAGAATGTGAGGCAAACTTGAAAATACACTACAAGTAATGTTACTAAACTTAGCTAGGTTTTGTTCCTAGTGCCAACTGTGAGCAAAGGGCTTGCTCTTTACCAAAATGGGGTGAGTAAGGGTTAGAAGGGTCACATGGGCACTGGTCTAAGAATATTACTTTCACTTGAGTAAAAGGATGAAAAGAGCACTGAAAATGGAGTGGCTTCTCACTGGATGCGTCCATTTGACCTCTGGCTGTGTCCGTGACTACTGACGATCCTTCTGTTAGCATCAGCACTTGCCTCCCTTGGGAAAAGACTGGATCGGGTAACAGTCAAGACCTCCTCCAGTTCGTCTTAAGCACTGACACTCACTCCCAGCATCAGTCAGCTGCTTAGCGTCTAGATTTTTAGCAGGTAGTAATCAAATCATTATTTAACTTCTCTGCAGAGTACATCATGAGAAACGCTGGGTTGGATGAAGCACAAGCTGGAATCAAGGTTGCCAGGAGAAATATCAATAACCTCAGATATGCTGATGACACCACCCTTATGGCAGAAAGTGAAGAAGAACTAAATAGCCTCTTGATGAAAGTGAAAGAGGAGAGGGAAAAAGTTGGCTTAAAGCTCAACATTCAGAAAACTAAGATCATGGTGTCTGGTTCCATCACTTCGTGGGAAATAGATGGGGAAACAGTGGAAACAGTGGCTGACTTTATTTTTGGGGGCTCCAAAATCACTGCAGATGGTGATTGCAGCCCTGAAATTAAAAGACGCTTACTCCTTGGAAAGAAAGTTATGACCAACCTAGACAGCATATTGAAAGGCAGAGACATTAATTGCCAACAAAGGTCCATCTGGTCAAGGCTAGGGTTTTTCCAGTAGTCATGTATGGATGTGACAGTTAAGACTATAAAGAAAGCTGAGCACCGAAGAATTGATGCTTTTGATCTGTGGTGTTGGAGAAGATTCTTGAGAGTTCCTGGAACTGCAAAGAGATCCAACCAGTCCATCTCCTAAAGGAGATCAGTCCTGGGTGTTCATTGGAAGGAGTGATGCTAAAGCTGAAACTCTAGTACTTTGGCCACCTGATGTGAAAAACTGACTCATTTGAAAAGACCCTGATGCTGGGAAAGATTGAAGGTGGGAGAAGAAGGGGACGACAGAGGATGAGATGGTTGGATGCATCACCAACTCAATGGAGATGAGTTTGAGTAAACTCCGGGAGTTGGTGATGGACAGGGGTGCTGGGGTGCTGCAGTTCATGTGGTCACCAAGAGTCAGACATGACTGAGCGAATGAACTGAACTGAATCAAATCCTACTCTATGTAAGTGCACACGTCTCTATAGAAAATATTACCTATAGTGTCTGTGGTATTATTTGACATATATATATTACATATATGATACAACACTTTTCATATATTTCTGAGTTAACTTAATGTGTTTTTCCATACATGGCATATAGATCTAACTTACTGTAAATGAGTTGAATAGCTGTCTGAACAATGAGATAATTTGTTTAACCATTCTTTTGTTATTGGAAATGTAGGGCATTTTCCCCACAATTTGTTACTGTCTAAACAATACTACAATCACCATCATTATACATACACTAAGTACAAATTTTAATATTCAATTTTAATATTTAAGATATCAACAAGGAGAATTTTAAATGAAATGTAATAAGATAGGCAGATATATTGTCAAACTGTGCTCCAAAAACACTGCACCAGTTTATTCATCTGTTAGAAGTTGATGAAGAGGGTCTCTGTTTCTCTAAACTTTGGTCAGCACTTGATATTTTCAAACTTTACATTTTTATGAAGCTGGTAAAAATAATGTCTTGCTCCTATTTTAACTTTTATTTCCCTTAAGATTCCTATGATTGAGCATCTTTTCATAACATTTGTCCATTTGCATTTTATCTCAATACAACTACCAATTATATTCTTCACCCAGTTTTCTATTGGGTTACATGTCTTTTTCTCTTTAATATGCAGAAATTCTTCATATATTTGGATACTACATCCTTAACTGTTACAGATGATGCAAATGTTTTTCCCAACTGTGGCCGATACTGTTGGTTGATTATCAAAGCGTCTTTTCTGACTTCCTTCTCCATTTTTCCTTCTCCTGCTATAAAGACAGAGATTTGTTTGCCCAGCCTCCAAGGAATGGGCATATTAACTGGTTTGAGTCAATATGATCAAGAAGCCATAAGTCTAAAGAAGGGAAATCTGGAAGCTGGAACAAGCTTGGGTCTTGACAAAAGTTGTTGAGCGGCCATATTTGCTTGGGACCATCTAACTCTAGGTCTTTTGCTGAGCAAATTATGAATGTTCAAGCATCCTAATGATCTACATCATTGCATTAGTCAAATTTTCTATTCCTTGCAACAAACTAGTACATTCCAATTAACATACTCATTCTGGCACACCTCTTTAATTGTGTTTGTTCATCTTAAATGATTGATTGTCTTTTAGTTGAAGGTTTTGTCCAAATGTGGCAATGTGGCTCACAGATATTCATACCCGAGGTTCCAGGTCTACAAAATCCAGGGACCTTTTTATACTTCTAACTTATTTTCCACCTTATACCTAACCTTCATCATGGAGTGGGTGACAGGAATTCAACAAATGTTTGTGGATGTGAACTTTCATCCTTTTAATAAGAAAGGGTTAGTCTAGGCAAAAGGAATATGGTTCTTTCACCCATGGCGTCCTATGGCTTTTCTGGTGTTTTATTGGCACCTATCATTGGGTAAATTATTGAATAAGAAAACAGTTGCAACTGTGTTAAATCACCAGGCAGGGTTTATTGCATACACTGGGGATTTGTTTCTTTTATTGCTTAGTTGCTAAGTCATGTCCAGCTCTTTGCGACCCCATGGAAGAAGCCTGCCAGGTTCTTCTGTCCATGGGATTTCCCAGGCAAGAATACTGGAGTGGGTTGCCCTTTCCTTCTCCAGGGGATCTTCCTGACCCAGGGATTAAACCCATGTCTCTTTCATTCAGGCAGATTCTTTATCACTAAGCTACCTTGGAAGCCATACTGTTTGGGACACTGTTTCTTAAATAGTTTATTATACTTGAAAATGCCAATAGCGTTTCCATGTTACCTCTTCTTCTATCTCCGCAAGTCAGAGCTCAACCCTGCTTTTCCGCTTCTCCGCTGCTTCTTTCCTCGTTACAGAGTTTGACTCTTAGGTCGTACGTAAATATTTTAAAACTTGTTCCAGCAGCATTGCAGATGAAAAAAACTTGAAAAGCCTCCAGCTAAAAAAGCTTATTAATGCTGTTTAAAATACAATAAAGGCTATTCTAATTAGGAACTGAATCCTTAAGTACCATAAGGAAAAAGAAACAAAACACCAGAGCAGCAGGCATCACTGAGGCTGCCCTGAGGGGGGAGAGGGGAGGGGCTGAGGCTGGCTGGAAAGCGGGCATCACACAGCCCACACACGGCAGTGCAGAGGGGACCGGGCTCCATGATGAGCAGGGGTGGGCAGAATATGAAGTGTGTTTAAAGCTGAGGAACTACAAAGATGGCAATTTGAGTGAGCTAGAACAACAAAAAAAATTCTCACCAGCAGGTGGAAAAGCAAGATTTTTTTCCACCTTAGCTATGGGAGGAGTAAATGTCTCCACTAAGAAGTACTACCCAGAAACTGATTCTCATACAATTGAGGGACCAGAATTTACTGGCTTTCAGCTGGTTTGTACAACCAGGATATTAACAGAAGCAGAAACATACACTCTCTCAAAAAATGCAGCTCAAACATGGGCTCAAAATATTCCCAGAAAGTTTCAAGTGATGCAAACACAAATATACACCCCCCCAAAATCACAAAAGACATGTGGAAACAATATAGCATGAATAAAAATATCAACAAAACAAATGGCAGAGTCAAGACCACATATACTACAGATATTCAAATTATCAGATAAAGAATGTAAATCATATTGAAAATATTTAAAGAAAAGTTTTGAAAATGTTACAAAAGAAGAAGAGGCTATACAAATGACCAGAAGGTTTGAAATGGAACCAAATATAACTTCTAGATAAACTAAATATGATAATCACAATCAGAAACACAGTGCATAGGTTAAGCAGCATATTAAACAGAGCTAAACACACAATCATGATGGTGTGATCACTCACCTAGAGCCAGACATCCTGAAATGTGAAGTCAAGTGGGCCTTAGAAAGCACCACTACAAACAAAGCTAGTGTAGGTGATGGAATTCCAGTTGAGCTATTTCAAATCCTGAAAGATGATGCTGTGAAAATGCACTCAATATGCCAGCAAATTTGGAAAACTCAGCAGTGGCCACAGGACTGGAAAAGGTCAGTTTTCATTCCAATTCCAAAGAAAGGCAATGCCAAAGAATG